AGAAGAAGAAGAAGAAGAAGAAGAAGAAGAAGAAGAAGAAGAAGAAGAAGAAGAAGAAGAAGAAGAAGAAGAAGAAGAAGAAGAAGAAGAAGAATGTGTCTGTGTGCGCGTGTGTGTGTGTGTGTGTGTGTGTGTGTGTATGTCTATGTGTATGTGTGTGTCGTGTGTCGTGTATGTGCGTGTTTTTGAGTATGTGTATGTGCGTATGTGTCTGTGTGTGTGTGTGTGTGTGTGTGTGTGTTTTTGTATGCGTTTGTATGTTTGTATGTACCTCTGTGTTTAAGAGTATTTATCCTTATGTGAGCAGTCCGGCAGATGGGAGGGAATAAAATTGTTGAAAATAAAAATACTTCGTCTGACTTCCTGGTGCAGCCTGATCAAGAACATTCCACTTATTGAAAAAATGTGTGGCGAATTTCAGAAAGGAAAAGTACTTTCGTATGTTTGTGTTCGTGTTTGTGTTTGACTGTGTGTATGTGTGTGTGTGTGTGTGTGTGTGTGTGTGTGTGTGTGTGTGTGTGTGTGTGCATTTGTATGTATAGTAATATTGTTTTGTGTGTGTTTTGTAACTATGCGAATATGTGAATGAGTTTGTGAAAGATAAAGATAGAGGAGGGGGGGGGAGAAAGAGGGAGAGAGAGACAGAGAGACAGAGACAGAGACAGAGACAGAGAGAGAGAGACAGAGAGAGAGACACAAAGAGAGAGAGAGAGAGAGAGACAGAGAGAGAGACACAAAGGGAGAGAGAGAGACAGACAGACAGACAGACAGACAGACAGACCGACAGACAGTCAGAGAGAAAAATAGAGAGCGCGTTAATATCATGTGTACACATGTATTATATTTGTCTGACTCCCTCCAACCAACTAACAAAAAATAGCAAGGATGACGTGCGGGAGGAAGCTAGCTACAGATTGTCTGAAGTCGTCACGTAAGAGTACAATTGTCTCATGCTCTGCAGGTTACGCACAACTAATTACTCTAACTACACGTCCATTTTTCATTAAATTGTTATAATGTAAGCGTTTTTTACGCCCAAAATTGTCACAATCTGTATCATGTAGGGGGTGGGCTGGGCGTCCCACCCTGCTTCCATTGTCAAGTGGGGCTAAGAGGAATATAATTTATAATTTTTCATCAGAAAGACCGAGGTACTGGATTAACCCCCCACCCCCTCCCTCCCACTGGGGAATCGAGCACATGTCTCCTGCATACAGCAGTGATGTGCCTAACTACTACACCTCAGTAGCTGGTTCTTGTCCTCTGAAGACGACAGGTTTATGGTGCAAGTTAGGCTATAATGAAATCAGTGAAATTAAAAGAGAATCAGCAAAAACAAAACAAAATTATAATAATAAT